CTCGCACTTTGTAACTCGCAACTTGCATTTTGTAACTCGCAACTCGCATTTTGTAACTCGCAACTCGTATTTTGTAACTCGCAACTCGCATTTTGTAACTCGCAACTCGCACAAAAGAAACCCTCCTCTGATTATGCTGTTTGTAAACCACACCTAATCCGTGGTCTCTATTTAGAGGTTTCTAATTTGAGACCGAACCCCGAGACCGCCTAAAATTTCAGGTACACAAAATAGTCTCGAATTACTAGTGGGCCCGGGACCGTAAATAACGCTTTTAATTTGTAAAACAAACAGTGCAGTATCCAAAAAAATTAGGCCTAACAATTAAGTCCGGTTGCAAAAAGTCAGTTACCCTTGTAGAAAGGGCACAGGCGTGGGTGGAACCGAACAACAACAATAAACAAAACAAGCAGAATTTAGATTCTTGAACATGTGCTCAACCCCTACTCGCAGCAATGACAAATTGATTGCTTTAAAATGGTTTATAAGTTATTTGAATAATCGTAAACAATTTGTTTCTGTTGGATCAGGTAAATCATCGACGAGGGATGTAACTTGTGGGGTGCCACAAGGGTCGGCCTTGGGGCCGTTACTTTTCATAATATATGTTAATGACTTGTGTAGAATTAGTGACACCCTCCAATTGGTGTCCTTCGCCGATGATACTACGTTTTTTTTATTCTAATGAAGACCTCAATGTTTTGTTCAATACGTTTAATAATGAGTTTTAAAAAATTGGTTTCTGGTTCAATGCAAATAAGCTCCTAATTAATATTCAAAAGACTAACTATATTTTATTTCATTCACACCATAAGAACGTAAATTTTTCAAACTTTAGCATTATTTTAAATAAAAATCATATAGAACGTAAATCAAATACTTCGTTTTTAGGAGTATTCATTGATGAAACTCTAAGTTGGAAATTACACCAAAATTATGTTGCAAGCAAAATATCAAAATCAATAGGCATAATAAACAGGCTTAAGTTATTCTTCCCACGCAACACTTTAATTACTTTATACAATACTCTTATTCTCCCTTATTTGCAGTATTGTAACTTAATATGGGCTGTGACTATTCTTCGAACCTGGATAGATTACTTAAGCTACAAAAACGTGTTGTCAGAATAATTGATTTAGCTTCATTTGCATCGTCTTCGGAACCTCTGTTTAAAAAACTAAATATATTAACAATTATGGATCTAAACAAACTACAAGTTGCGTGTTTTATGTTTCAATACTTAAAAGGCCAAATCCCAACCTCTATATTAGCTTTATTTTATGATTATAAACCTATACACAGTTATTGCTTAAAAAATTCAAACTCACTTTACGTTCCTTTTGTAAGACTAACCAAAAGCCAATTTTTTATTTCTGTATACGGACCGAAATTATGGAATGATACTCATGTTAAGTTTAAAAATTGCCATAGTACCCACACTTTTAGAAAGCAGATGAAGAAATATTATTTAGAAATGTACCAATCTTAACTTTATTTAAATATTTTATTTTATATATGTATGTGTATGTGTATATATGTTATATATATATATGATATTCAAACATGGACATTTGTTAAATAGCTACAGGGTAGCCTACGATGTTCCATCATGTCCTTATCTAAACACTGCATATGTACCTTTGATGATTTATATTGTATGTATATATATGTGTGTTTAAGTGTGTAGGTGTTGGTTTGTGTGTATATGTGCGTGTGCATATATGTATGTGTGTGTGTTCGCGTGTGTGTGTATCTACATGTATGTATTGGAGTGTATGTGTGTGTATGTATGTGTGTGTATATGTATATATGTATATATGTATTTATATATATATATATATATATATATATATATATATATATATATTTGTATATAAAATGTAGGTCTACCTGATATGCGTTTATTATTAATTTTTACTTTTTGTTTTGTCGGGGTCAAATTGAGACAAGCTTCGCTTCTATTTTTGATCCTAATTAATTAATTTTAATGTTGTCCACTTTATTTATCATTTGATGTATTTATTAATTAATTGAATAAATGTTAATTGAATTGAATTGAAATTGAGTACTTTTTTTTCTTATTTTAATTTTTTTTTCTTAATTTTTCTAACCATTGTAGCTAAGGGCACAGGCGTGGGTGGAACGGAACAAATGCCGTAGGCAGCTATTAGGACAGTTGGGACAGTCCCACACAATTTTTTAATGGGCCACAAAGAATGGGTCCATGTTTTTAAAAATGGGCCAAATTATGTAATTTTATGCATAAAATGGGTCCACTTTTTGAAAGCTGGGTCCAGATTTTTCATATCTAGCTCAAAATTGGTAAATTTTAAGAAAATATGGGCCCAGATTTTTTCATATTTTTGCGTAAAATGGGTCCACATTGTTTGAATTTGAATTTACGCGTAAAGTGGATCCACCCTGATATACTCCTGCACTGTTTGGAAATCCTGGCTACGGCATTGATTTCCTTAAGTGCCCCGTTTGAATAAGCGCCCTATCATAAGATTTTCTTTTTAGCAAGTCAGTAATCCAATAAATCCTGGGACTGTGGTTATTATGAACGGAACAACAATAAACACAACAAACAGAATTTAAATTTTTGAACATATGCTCGGCCCCCTACTCTCATCAATGACAAACTGGTTTTTCTTAATAATATTTTTTTTTCTAATATTTCTTTTGATTCTAACATTTTATTATTATTTATATATCTTTTATTTAAAGAAAAACAGTCAAGAAAACACTGGATAGATGATTGTATGACCATTGATGCAAATCTGATACAATATACAGTTATACAGTTTATATAGGCCTAGTTGTCTCAGAAT